GGGAAATAAGGTGTTTATTGGGAAGAGCTGTGTGAAAAAGGTGATGTTGGGCTTGGGGTCTTTTCTCACAGGGAATAGTGAAAGGCACAGCCTACCTTTCTTTGCCTTGAATGGAAGACTGTATTTATCTAGGAGGAATCTTGGATCCAGAATTCCGGTTCTTGTTCTAGCTCTGTCTGTCGTTGTCTTGTAGTGGGAACTTCGTCAAACCATTTGGCATATTTTGACTTAAGTTTGTTTGTAAAAGGGAAAAGTCATAATGCTGTTATCATTCTAAAAGTTCTTGGGTTTTTGTGCTGCCAATTAGTCTTTATGTCACTGTACTCCTCTACAGGAAGCAGACAATGATCCAACAGGGGAAGCAGCAGCTAATACCCAGCAGACGCTTACCTTCTATGAGCTAGACCTTGGTTTAAATCACGTGGTCCGAAAATACAGTGAGCCTTTGGAAGAGCATGGCAACTTCCTTATTACAGGTACTTCTCTGTTAGCGCTGCTCTGTCCCCTATTCTTAGTCTGTTTTATGCACAAACTCAATAGGTTTTACTTAATACTCAAGTTTGGAAATTAATCCATTTGTAAATAGCTATGAGCACCTTGTCTCTGTTTTGGTGAGGTTAGAAGTTCACATGGTGGAGGGGCTGGCAGGTGGCGTGGTAGTTAAGGGCGCTGGACTTCCACATGGCCGACTGTGGTTTGAGTCCTGGACCTGGGGGCTAGCTTTCTTACTTTCCCTCCTTCCCTTGTTCTTGCTCTGTCCCCCTCTGGTCAAATTAAAATAAGTAAATAAAGGTGAATAAAATAAAAAAAAAAAGTTTACGAGGTGGAGTGATAAAAAAGTTTGTGCATAGAGTATCTTGCACCTTAATAACTCCATATTCTTCTAGGAGTAGGGAGGAAAGGATGAGAGCAGTCAGCTTGCAATATCGATTACTCTTAGTTACTGTGATAACTTTCTGTGGTCGGTTTTTCCCTTTCATCAAAAGCTAGTTCTTTGAAAAGACAAACAAAATGGACAATCCCAACAAGATAAAACTGTTCATGGGGGCCAGCCTATGACATAGTGGTTAAGGTAGCTGGATTTCACATGGTAGGCGTAGGCTGTGTGGTTTGAGTCCTGGACCCAACGACTTGATAAATATATTGGGTGGGTATGTGTTCCCCCAAAATGATTACATATCTCATTACTTGCTGTTACATTGCCGTAACTTTCATTTACAAGGGCTTTGTTCATTCAACTAATTTGTATTGAGCCTCTGTGTTTGGTATGGGTCAAATCAGTCTGCTGGGCTCTAGAGTTGCTGTGGTGAACAGTGAAATGTGGTACCTCCCTTTGTGTAAGATGAAGCCTAATGAACATATGTAAATGACCAGAAAATGACCAGTGACTTTGCCAAACAACCATGACAGCATAGAAAAGGTGTTCCTAAGTCCAGAAAGGCAAGGGAATGTGTTTGAAAAAGCTTTCTGTAGAAAAGCTTTCTGAGACCTGAGCACTATCTAGGAGTTAGGTAGGTCCTGTGGGTGTGGGGAGGAGTCTGTTGTAGATAAGGAAACAGCACGCACAAAGGCCCAAATAGAAGGAAGAACGCTCATGCAAAGGTCTACAGACTCATCGTGATTGAAGTATTAAAGAACTGGGATAAGAGTGGTGGTGGGTGTCAGTTTACTGAAGGATTTAAAGCAGAAGTGTTAGAGATTGATACTCAGAAACATTACATTCTTACATACTGCCTGGTGGAATGGAGGGTGAAGACTATGCCAGGAGGCTCAACAGGAAGCTCTTTCGCTAAGATA